TATATATATATATATTATTGATTGCTGAGAGAGGAAGGGAAAGGGAGAGGGAGATAGAAACATCAATGATAAGAGTCACTGATTGGCTGCCTCCTGCACATCCCCTACTGCGGATGAAGCCTGCTCCCTGGACATGTGCCCTGACTGGGAATTGAGCCATGGCCTGGTTCATAGGTTGATGCTCAACCACTAAGCCACGATGTCCAGACACATTCCTTTAATTTTTTTGTTTAAAGTGTTTTTTCACTTGTTTGCTGTTCTACTCACCCCTTCCCCATGGTAACCAATGTTAAACTTTTCATGCCTTCCTCTATGCTCATGTAGTCACTACAAATCTGATGGACTCACAGAGTTTACTCTATAAAACCGGATTATAAATTTTTCTGCAACCATTTGTCTCATTTAACAACTTACCACCAGAAGCCTCTAACCCAGTCTATTTATGGATGGCAGTGCATATGGATATGCCAGTACATTGTGGCATATCCATATCCTTATACATATCCATATCCATATCCCACAGTGTACTCAGCAGAAGAACCTGAGACTGCCCATCGCTGGCTCTGCCGGTCTGTTTTCAGTACATCTGACTCCATCTCTGCCCACAGAGATAGCGGCTTTGTTTATATTTTGCTTTTCTGCACTATTTTGGCAAAAAGAACATCCGCATCAATTGCAGACACTACCATATACTCAGGTGTCGCCTGAGAACTCCACACTCATCTCAGAGCTTTAGAGAGAGTAAAGCATAGAGCCCCTTAATTAGTTCCCTCCTCCTGGACAGCTTGTCATGGGTGTTTCTATAGGTGTCTGCACTTCCTCTGTGATATGAAGCTACACAACTAACAAGTCCTGAAAAGGTCTGTGGAAAGAAAAATATTCCCAGGCATACACAGATTTACAGCTTGTTTTCTTGGGTTCCCTCGGCCAGAGTCCTGTCATTCATTCCAGCCTAGTCCCATCTCCACATGTTAATTCAAATCACATATGACCTGAAAACTAGGGAAGAAGGAAAATTACATGCATTTCTGTGTGGCATAATGTAACAATGGTTTATAGCAGAACATCCCCCAAAGGCCAGCCAGGCAGGTTCACTCTGGACGGTGACAGGTGAGTCGTGGCAACATTTGGCTGCTGTCTCATTTGCTCACACCTCACAGGTCGACCCTCAGCTGCTTTTCATCTTCCACTCTATGGCCGGCATTGAAATGAAAAGTGGCTGCTTTTCTTCTGGTTCAGATCAATCTTTTAATAGTGTCTTAAGACTATCTAAATATCAGACCTAACGGATAAAAGCCAGGATTTTTAATATAAATCTGACTTCCATCAAAATGATGAGAAGCCATGAAGAATATATTGAGCTACTGGGTTGGACACCTTTGGGGGCTATAAACGCATCCCAGCCAAGTCTGTATGAATGAACTTGTTTTCCTTTCATGGGAAATGAATACTTGCGGGCCACTGGAACTCTTCTGAATAAAACTCAAACACCTGGAGGGCACACTGGCTGCTCCAAAGAGGCAAATTGGCTCCTGACAACCCCCTACCCCAACAGGATGAGGTCCTATATTTTTTTTTTTTTACTTAACTGTAGATTCACATGACATGTGAAAGACAATCCCTCAGCCCAGTCTCCTCAGTGGTTACATCTCACATAACTACAGTGCAATGGTAAAACCAGGACTCTGACAACATGTGTGAGTGGTTCCATCAAGCCTATTATTTTAGCTGCTGCTCATAGCAGTACTCCGCCACAGTCTCTTTTTTTTTAATTTTAAATATGTTCTTATTGATTTCAAAGAGAAGAAGGGAGGAGGAGAGAGAGAGAGAAACATCAGTGATGAGAGAGTCATTAATCAACTGCCTCCTGCACACCCGCTACTGGGGATTAAGCTCAAAACCTGGGCATGTGCCCCAAATGGGAATCGAACCTCAACCTCCTGGTTCATAGGTAGATGGTCAGCCACTGAGCCATGCAGGCCAGGCCACAGCATGTCTCTTAAGGTGGAACAGATTTAAAGGACCACAGCAGGCCAGGCCAATGAGCAAAGCAAATCAAGAGGGAATGGGGCGGGGG